CTGGCCATGCTTATAATATATGAGGCTTATTTTTGCAGCCTAATGTTGAGAATGGCTTATCATTGGTTTCCATAGCCCGATTATGCAACTCGAACGGAAAATCAGCTCTTTGTAGTATTTTCGCTGTTTATTCGCGTGGGTCGTTCAGTGCCGCAGAGCGATGGATATTTTTCTCGCTATGTTTCTCAAGGGCTAGTCCGTTATTGTCAAAAACACTCCAAACAGAACGGCCAAGTTCTTTCACAAAAAGGTCCTAAGCAACTCAATGGAAAATAACGGCAAGTTGTGTTCGTTTGTAATTCTTAGTTATGGTATATGAAGCAGCTTAGCAAAGCAAACTTTATATACAACGCATAAAAAATCAAAGCTATCACAACGGGCGACCTAGAAGATAAGTTGATTCGTGTAAGAGGTTGTGATTTGCGGAGCAACAGGAATGAATCGGTGGCTTAAATAACAAGACAGGTGTTTTCCAACATATCTATTCTACAGTATGTCAAACGCACAAAAGCTTCAATAATCGCTCTAGTCGTTTTCGATATGGGGGGCATATATACATGCAAGGTGCGCCGTCTAAACTGATTCTTTTTTTGAATCATCCAAAACTGTATCTAAATAAAAAAAACACATTTCAACGAAATGTTATGCATGCGTTGGTTGTTCCTCCTAACGACTGTGTTTATTCAGGGTAACCTCTGTTTCGCTTGGTAGCAGCTTCAATCCAGGGCTAAACCGCTCGCTAGTCATCTTCAAAATACTCGTCTGTGAACAACTTTTCAAGAAAAGTTGATAACTTTCAAAAAGTGATAGTTGGTAAGGGTAGGCTTGTCAAAATGGTATGAAAAATTCATTGGAATTAAACTTTGGGCTGATAGAAAATCGAAAGGCCCAAAAATACAAGGGTCCTCAGGAGCCGAATGTGCACGAAAGGTTTTAAACTCACTTACACGGTTCAACTCTGCTTAAAACAAGGATGAATTTCCGCAGTAGAAATTATAGATGGCATTTTGCGACAATTTGCTAACTTTTTATGCCATCTATCGAAGACAAACTCTATCGAAGATCTTTCGTTTCGTCTTTTAAAGATACTCTTTGTAGTTTGCGAAAGCCCTTTGGAAATTCGTAACAAAGCAGATCGTCGATTTGAGACTGAAAACGAAGTTTTTACCAACAGTTTTTTGAAAAAGTTGGAAATTAGAGAACAATAGAACACTTTTTCACTATGGCTGCGAATCTGTTGACATTCCTACTCTGAACTAGCTTTCATTTCAGTTTCGGGTGAACGCATTCTTCAAACCACAAATAAGCAGCTAATAACAGTCCTAATTTAGCCAAAGCATAGTACAAACCTATATCTAATATACAAACCTGGCCTGCTTAAGATCATGTCACAGAACCTATAAGCTGTATTAAGTTGATTACAATTGGAAACTATATTCATCTAAGCGGAACAAAGCGCTATATATGAATCCACAAAACTGTGCCATCGTCATATTTACAAGTAATAATACGCCTTTTAGAAGTTTCTTCTAACCATAACGTTGGATAGTTCATCGTTTAGTGAACGTCTGTCGAATTTGTATGGCATTGTACCACCTGAACGGCGGTAAAGCTTGCGAATGATACTTGGAAGTCCCCGTCGTACGTCTAATTGATGGCGTATTCATACAAATAAGCTCATAGGTTAAATGGTTTAAAAAATAAGTGGTATACTTCTGTTGACGTAAATGTTCTTAAGCAGATTATAAATGTGATTACATTTTGTAGCACGCGTTAGGAAAGAGTATAATTCCAGGGAAATAGCCAGGATTTAAGGTGATCTTTATTGAATTCTGGAAAATCTAAAACCTGAACCGAATAATAAACGGATAATTAATTTTATTGAAAATATGGACAAACAAATAGACTCATTACATTGTATCGATCAATAGACGTAACTGAAATTTACTTTTTTTATTAAAAGTAAATTTCAGTTTTTTTTTATTTATTAAATTATTGCTATTATAATGTGCATTGGTAACGCTAGCTGTTATACTATGCTATTATGAGTTAAGAATTTGGCCTTTACATTGAGTTGACGCCATTTTAAATATAGCCTACTTAGTTTTCATCATTTATAGAATTTGGATCGAAAATTTTGCGTTGTTACTGTCATCATCGATATTGTCTGCTACCCCCTTTCGCATATAAATGTGCTTATACCATCATCACCTCTGTAGGCAAACATTGATTCTGCTTGGATGGCTGAATTTCACCTTCTCGACGCCATTAAAGCGTTCAAGGGTAACTTTGATTACCAACCTGCTATACGAATGGCTTGCAATTTGATTTACGATGGACCTTACCGAATCAACGATCTGTATGGCGGCTTCCTGTTTAGCAAGTGGCGACATTGAGAGAAAATTCAAATTCAAAGGTTTCCTTGTAGAGCTATCGTTCGAATGTGTCCCTTCCACTTAAATACATTTTGTTACGTTTATTCGCTTTTGACAAAACACGCCTTTTACGTAAACCCGTGTAATAATACATATCCCGAAACTGCTAATCTTAATATGTAGAGCAAACCACACACCACAGCCAAATTAAGCATAACTATGATCTAAATAACCTCCTGCTTCGTAAATAACTTATTTTATCTACATTTCAAGAGCATTACTCTTTACTGTCAGGTTGCACTAACGCGAGCAGTATCAAACACACATGCTTTTTTTTTTTTGCATAGAGAAGGACAACAAGATGTTTGTTGAATTATTATTATTAGATTGATATTGCTTACCACCAGTAAAGATCTTTTTTTTCGTTCTTCTGGTCGCAATTAGCTGATATCATTCCTATTGAGTAACTCTTTGTTAAATCATTTTTACACTTAGCACCTTATGATAGTTCGTTTACTATGGAACTCTTCGATAAATTATAGTGGGCATATGGGTAACGGTTTCTTCTTTCTTCCATGTTCGTTTATGCCTGGCCACATAACAACCAGACAGCATATTGCATGCACATAACAGAGCGTCTTTGAAGCTGCTTTTCCGCTTTACGTGAATACAAAAACAATGCCCACCTTGTAATAGCCTTCAATCTGGATTCCGTACTTCAAACGTAAACTGTGCATACACATTTAACTACACATCGTACGTACGTACGTGCACTTTCGTCTGAAAACAAGAACCTCATTTCGCTAAATTTACATAAAGCTGTTATTAATTAGTGGACTCTGAGCATGTGTTTTCAATGTGTGCGATTTTGAATTCGGAAGTAGCTTTTTAATAGCACCGCCCTATTGCATGCCTAGTACCCAATAGAATATTTATTGAGGTTTTTCAGAAGAGCTAAAAACTTGCCAATACTGTAGAAGAAACTATCTTCAATATACTGCGCCGCTTGAACATAAGGTAGTATATTACCGTTAACCATAGCTAAAAGTTTTAAACTAAGAGCCTTCCAGTTGTGACACAATATATATATATATATATTTTTTTTTCGCTGTATTTTTTACTTGTTTATCGGGCTTTCTGTTAAGTATTGTTCGATTTAACTGTAACTACGTGAAATGCATGCCTGTTGACTTCTGCGTACCTATTCAGCGCATGGTCAAATGGAGAAAAAAAGACCAATTGATGCACTTTTCTTTTTAAATGAAACCATTCAATGCCAAAAGAAATAGAAATAATAATAGAAAAACACAAGCAGGTACAGGCTTTGCTCGAGTAGGTACGATAATCTTAACTGTCCGTGATGGCTTTCAGCAACAGACGCCTTAGTCTTCAATGTATATGCGACATTATTGCCCGTGTGCTCGCTTCCGTTTCATCGGTCTCGTCGATAGCTTGAAGATGTGTAGCTACCTAGCTCAAAATTTCTAGCAAGGAAATGCTTTTATCATGTATGATATGTGTGGATAGTCTCTTGGTCCACGACTCACCCAGTAACTGATATCAATCAATTTGATATCGTGTGACGGTGTATCCTGTATCTGATTAAATGTCTTATTTGAACAATGCTAGAGATGATTTGATTATTCCATTCTTCTTCGTTTTACAGTTATTTTATACTAAGAAGTAAAGAAAAAATGGAGAATGGTTGTGTAATGTTTAAACAAGTCAGTTGTTTTTACGTGTTGATAAATATGTACGAATAGTTACACATTAAATCGTAAACGACTAAATCTCTTTAATAACTGTAGCAATTTATTTCTGTAGTAGTTTTTCTTGTTCCCACAATTGACTTGCGGAATGCAAAAGAAACACAGGAATGATTTACGTTTAACCGATCTTTCGTGTGTCCTGAGATGCTTTAGTACCCTGTTTTGGCGTCTAGGGTGAACGTGATCTATGTGAGCATGTCCATACAATGTTCGGCGCCTGGATGGCCTGATTTTCGTTTTTCAGCTTCGCAACTTAAGAATATCGTCGCAGTATTCCCTTGCAAGGCGAGAAAATGCCTTTGGACGATTATCTATAGATTACTAGATATGCGGTAGATTGTTATCGAAATTCTAGAATTTTCAGTAGCGCCCTATGTTCAATATGAGCGAAATCTTAGTTAAACAATCACTTGCTTTAAACATTTAATGTTGAGCCACCAGATATGTTATATGGATATGCCCACATGTATGTACAACAAATACATTATAATATGTTCATCCACCATTTTTAATAACCATGGTGGACTGAATGCTCTTGTAGAAATAACTCAAGTAACAGTGTCAGTGTAGCAATCATATGGAGGTGGAGTAGTAGCGATAGGAAATGTCGTTTTTGTCATCGTCGTCGTTGTTGTTGTTGTTGTTGTTGTTGTTGATGTTCTTGTTATACCTGTTTTTCGTGCAACGTTTGTCTTAGAGGTTAGGAGCTGATTAATGGTAGCTGATATTTGTTGCCTTTTCCTCTCCATCTATTAACTATGGGTTTCGCTAGTCTTCATTATAGTGCTGTTGTTGTATTTCCTGTTGTTGTTGTTGTTGTTGTTGTTGGTTGTTGTGGTGATGTAACGCATTGCAGATGAAAGTACGCTAGGAGGCGGTCTAGCACAGAGTGGTGGTCCAACGTTCACCCCGCCAGATGTGCCAAAGAGGCCCAAACCGCCGAGAGGTAGCGTCTCGCTATATCTCTTATTCTCCACCATTTTATCTACTTTCTTGTATATCATTTTTATTCTATTCTATACTATGTCTCCTTTATATATTGCTGAAGTCCACATCTTATTCCTTCATGTGTCCACAATCGAATAAGTCGGCCGTTTTACAGCGTACTAACTTGTTCAAATATGATGATTTGGATGTTGGTACCCTGTGACAAACTGACCGATAAAATTAGTAATTTGTTCAGCTTAACCCTTTGCTAACTGGCTTCTTGCTCACAGGCTTAGCTATGCTACGTTATTATTAAGAGGCATACATCTAGCTTCCTATTAGAGGGTTGTGGATACTATTTGAACAAAGATTAAATGCTGGACTCAGAATTGTGTCCATATACCAATATTAAATGTACGTAAACTCATTATTATGGTACTATTTTAAGTCAATTGAATTTACTGGAGCAGCTGCAAACAGTTCCAGACGGTAATCTATAGGGTGATCCATTTTCAAGTGCGGATTTGAGCTACAGCCAAGTTGTTTATGTGAAGAAACTGTTCTCTACTGCCGGCAAAGACTATCTTTCTTCTATGAACTTGTAGACAGTTATCTAGTATCATTTACTGCATGGTAGACGTGCTTTATGCTCTTTGGTGACAAAGTTCATAGCACGCGCGTGGCTTGTGCTACATAAGTACCTGTTAGCTGTCACCATCACGCAGTTACCGATAGATAAGTTTGGTCAATGCTCCATGTCTAGGGAGGGATCCACCTTATAGGCATCCACTCTATTGATGTAGCGTTGCTCTACTAGGCGTTGCCATTTTCTGGAAAGCAAGATGTCTGTTTCTCTGTTGACGATTTAGAGAAGACCATCGAATTTCACATTTCGGCAATTATGTCGAAAATACACGAAAAATGCGTAGTCGACGATGCGGTATTTCGTTTTTATCACGAGAAGATGTCTTGTGGCGCTCATCTAGGTAACACCAAATTTAGAACGTAATGGCAAACATTATTGTTTTATGGCACGGTGGCAACAATGTTATTTTTGTTAGGTTGAAATGTGATAATTTTGAGTGGATCACTCTATATATTATATCGTCGCTTTAATAGAACTCTTCAGCATTGATCGAGTAGTAATGGCGTCATAGCATGTATGCATAAACATAGGTTTCCGCAACTACGTCGATACGCATAGAAAAACGCGTATCTAAAGATAGCAATACAGTACTACGCGCTAATTGTAAACTGAAAAAGAGCTCCCAAGTGGTTTTTACTAGGCACCGATTTGTTACGGCTTTACCAAATCCTCGGAAGCACTTCAGTTAAAAGATAAGTGCCCTAAGCACTTCCCAGCGAACGTGTTTTCTTTGCAAGTGATCCATTCGTACAATAGCTCACAAGTACGGCTTTCGTCCCCTTACACAGATATAGTTACAAAAAGAATGGGATTATATAAATTTCTAATTATTAATATACACGAAAAACGAACTCATTCATGTAAGATTAATTATCGACTGAACAAAACATACGTTTAACGTTAGTCTATTATTGTGACTGGTTGAATTTTTTTAATAATCACAACTATGTTAGCGTCTTGTTTTGTCACATAAAAGTCGTATTCTTGCGTTTTTAGCTCGATCCAAACAAAGCGCACTTTATTTCGCAGATCATTGCATTTAGCGGATCCAAATTCCTTTATTGACTTTCGTTCTATTAATATTATATAGGTCTAAGTATAAACGATTGCCAATAAAATAACCTATGTAAAATATTTCTAAAATGTATCGCATTAGAGTCCGTTAACTCTTTATGTTTGACCGTCTAATCCTACTAATCAGCTACTAAATATATATATGTTTTTTTTTTAGCCTTTATCTAAATCAGTTTTGTTTAATTCTGCTTATAAGGATAAAAGCATAACTATATCTGTTAACTTATGAGTTACACTATAGATTACCTAGCGGGATTTACCGAGCACCCTGTTTTCTCTGTGATCATCGCTGCTTGAATACGATATCTTCTCGACATATAGGTGCTCGTTGTCAGTCAACAGGCGCATCGTTTCAATCAACGGAAGATTATCATATTCTTCTGTACTTACAAGAAGACACGTCGGCTGCGGACACATTTTTATCTTTTAGGTTTTAATACTTAATTAATCATAAAGTTAATAATTTGATATATAGGATAAGTAAAACACATCATTTATTAGGAATGGAGGATTATTTCGCACTGGGGTGAAAAGCACTAGTCACGCACTATCAGGTTGACACGTTTTGTACTTTGAGCGGTGAATAGCAATGGTAGATAACTGATACAGCAATGGCCAAAGTAAACTTTTTAGGAAAACCCTCAAAATGAGATCAGCATCGGTTGATGTGCGCACTTGGAACGAAAATAACATTCTGTTCGTCATAAGATTTGTAAACAATGTACTTAACGTAACGAAAGAAAATTACTTAACGCAGCGATCTGCTTCGTACAATTTCCGACTAGATCGATAATTTCGATTGTGTTAACTACATATGGCTGACGTGAATTCTCAGAGTGGGCTTAAATCTAGCACGAATAAAAGCTGTCGGCCTCAATAGCGGAATCAACAGCCTTGTACGCCTGTTTAGTCTGGGGCGACATTGCACTGAACCCCAAAAACAATAGGGAGACTGTCATCGACGCAAGGAACCGTCGCACCTCGGGTCGCCCGTACATATAATAATACACTGCTGATGCGAGTGGTAGCGGTGCTAGCCATAATGTTTCCGTGAGATAACCTGGCGCGAGAGCTCTTCGAAAGGGTGCCTGGCGAGACGTTGGACCTTACGATAGCGACGACATCTACACCAAAAAAATGGATGGAATGGTGACAACTCTCCACACAGGGAGGAAATAAGGAAGAGTGAACAAAAAGTTTATACGTAATCTCGTTCTATCTCACTCAGTGGCCATACAGGGCAGTGCCTAAGTAGAAATCTGAAATCAACAAGGACACTTTAATGTAGTCCAATGAAGCAACGCCTACATACTCTCAGTAAAAATTCCAAAAGAGCGGACGACCTTTCACTCCTAGATTAACGGAATGGCCAGTCTCAGGGCTTAGTATTCGCAGATTATAGATCTGAACTGATCTAGCAAACGCTCCGCTGGTATAAAATTACAAATATGGCTGTGATCGTAGCGGTGACTTGCACGGCTAAATTTCTGGCTGCAAAGCTAAAGGTCGTTGGTTTGAGTCCCGCTGAGCTTGATGTTAATGAAGCAAGCCATTAATTGCCAATACATTGCTCTTCCACAGATAAATTCAACGTGCTTAGCGAAATTGCTTTGTGTATCCCTATGCCGTAAAGATACAAGCTAGGTTAATAATTTGAAGATACCTCCGCAAGTCGTTTCCGTTTGGTAGATATTACCGTCTGGTATTACTGAACTGACCTGATGACTGGTGAATATTTTAGAAAAGACATGAAACCTCGACACTGGAACTTTTCGGTGAGAGAATTTCAAAAACTAATTTATGGAAGGGCGACAGCGTGGAGAAGGTATTTCTTTTCCATCGTTCTTTTTACAAAGTTGTAAGAAATACCTTAAAATGTGCCTAACGGTGTAAATCAAATTATTTTTACTGTTTGAGCAAGTGTGTCCTTCTAGAATACTAGGGATCCTTTGACGTAGATTTACTTCATTATTATCTCCGGAAACGACAACAAAGGAAATGGCAACGTCGTTCGTATTTCCAGCTCCTTGATCATACACACCTATTACCAATCCTCAGTTTTGCGGTCGAAAAATAGTTTGGATTCCTACACACATCTATTATAACACTCGACATCTATCTAGCAAATAATTTTCTTCATAACAAGTTTCCCCTTTTGCTCACAACATTTATAGTGCTATTTTGTGAAAATAACAGCGAGCAATTGGAAATGGAAAGAGTATTATTTAAGGGAAATTGATGTTTAATTGTTAGGCGAGCTACAGAGGTAGTAATTTTTACTTTTAACTTTTTCTACAATTTAACTTTTTTAAGTGCCTCCTCGACAACGCCCAGTAGTACTTTTATTGTAACCCTACTTTGCGGCGGGCACGCGTTCCACTAGATTCAGTCTGCACGTGAAGAATCATGCGTTAGGCCGCGCAGTACGAAAAGGCGACATCTTCGTCAGCCCCTCGGATATACACATTAGGATTATACAAGTCTTGCCCATGTCTTACTATAGGAAGTGCTTAAGTTAAAAGGACGGACGTTAATTTGTAGGATTTTTTTTCTCATTGTTGTGATAATCCAGTTATGAAGGCTAAATAGCTGTTAGAAGCTGCTGTCATCGATCACGTGATCCTTAGCCTCCATAATAGCATATAATGTTATGTAAAGGGACAGCTGTCTTTCCTGCACGGATATGCAAGTACATTGCCTGCTGCATTTATTAATGTACGTAAAACTATTTCCTGTACATGTCTGCTGTCCGCTAAGTTGATTTACTCTATCATAATATCTCATTTGATCGGAAAGCTAGAATAATCCGTTTCAAATAAGATGTGCTTTATCCAATTAGGCTAAACTCTTATCTGGATCAAAGATACAATCACGAGGTACACCCTTCGCTGGATATTGGCACCTCAATCCATTGAACAATACAATGGTTATAAATGTAAGAAGATCATGGTGCTAATACGTCGGGCACCTCGATGTTGTGAGGTGGACAATACGCCATTCGTACCTTCGTCGTCCGGTCACAACACGATGAAGTCTGATAGAGATCAGTTAACAAGCAGTTCTAGGAAGACGCCTCTAATTTCTATCGTACTGTGAAAAATCACATACAACTACCCTTGAGCAAACGGTCAGATCGATATTAAAGAAAATAAATTTTTTTAACAATAAGTAAAATGTAGACGATTTATTTGCCTATTAAGTGCGCGTTATCTCTTTGACCAACATGATAGATTTGAGCTGAACTTATATCTGTGCGTGGAGATAACGCGAAGAACTTTTGTACGACTGACGATAACATGAACTGAAAAAGTATTGACTAAGGATATTGATTCAGGGCAGATGAACTTACCGGGTATAGATTCGATCTCCTCAGCGTCACAGCCGCAACTACTGAACAACAACGAGTCTGTAATGCCTATGGGCAGGATGCAACAGCAGCTGATGTCCAACTTGTCCCAGAGCAAACTGCCAAAGTCGAGTCAACAGCAACATTTGCAATCAGTCAAATCAAGCACCGGGAAAATGGCTATCGAACCGTCAACGCAAAGCAATGCTCTGCTTTCACCGCCGGCTTACGGGTGAGTCTATATTATTACTACTTTCCACAATTTAAACACAGAACTATTGGCGATTCAGACGGACGCGGCTCGTGTAAACGTGTTTGTAGAGTCATCATTTCGTCTAATGAAACACCGTCGACGTTTCGAGCTGTGCTATCTGATCAGAAAATTTTTTAGTGCTTTACACACAGCGATTAGATTTAGTTTTGTTTCTGCGGTTATTAATTGTAATGAATCACATTTCAGCGTTGCTTCAAAGTTGACCACTGTAGGACAGCGTATTTAAACCTGAGAGTTATTAGATTTTTGTGTTTGATCCAAATTTGTATGTGTGTGTGCGTGTGCAAATAGTTTACTGCGGAAAGAGTCAAAGAGAAGACTACACTAAAAAACGTTGGACGACCTCAGAAATTTTGTTAGAAACATAATAAAATAAAGCTACTAGAAATTCTAAATTTACCGAGAGTGCTAAGAAAGCGTCTTTTACAGCTATTTGTGGTAATAATCGCGCTTTAATCCTGATTTGAGATTTGCATGAGGGGAGACGAATCCAGATTCAAGATTTACGTCGAGATGCTAAGCAACCCGTGTCTATGCAAACGACTGCAAAAAGCTTGCCTGCCTGCCTGTCTGCTAATTTTTTTTAAACAAGAGACCGATTGTTGTCAAAAGTTTTCGTAAATTTGTGAATATATTCGGTTCTCCGAATTAGGCGGGCTACAGAGTTTCGATTTTTTATGAGAACGAACTTTCCAGTTTCTGGAAAAAAGACACCAATAAGTAATAAGCATATTATCATGCCTCGAAAGTGTACATTGGCACATGTACACTTAGTGTATACTTAAACGACATTCGCTTCCATCTCTCTTCCTGAAATGCATGTTACTGCTACTAATGATGCACATCTTTTCCGATGTAACGTGGTTCCTCTTTGGGAAAGTGGTGCCATGTATTTTAAACAATTGTATTATATTATTAAGCATGGAAGCAGCCAGTATAAGGAACGCTCGGGTGTCGTTCTGATAATGGGGCTTGACCCTAGAGAAACAGAGCTGTCTGCGCGCCTGTAGTGTAGCATGATGCCGTAAAAGCTGTCCTTGCCTTTTATTGTCACATAGGTGCGTTTTGAACTAGTGATTTCATTCCTTTTTGGAGCACGGAACAAGTCACGGCGTCACTGCTGGTACCGAATCATCTGCCGCCGTACCACAGACGTTGGTGAAGCCGCAGACTGACACTGCAGTGAGTAAACAGAAGTATATCTTTCAACGACAACGCCTGTTTACAATGTCGATCTATGTTCATAAGTGACCTTTCGATCGTCCTTTCCTCGTCCCACGATCCAAAAAAATCCTTGTTTACAAAAGGCAAGCCTTTTGTAAACAAGGATTCTTTACCGTGCGCTACGTTTCGGATATTACTAATTTTGCTTAAACAGCTTTTTTGGATATTAACCAGACTTTGGGGTCCTTCAACATAACTTTTAGCCGATCTCTTCTCTTTCTTTTTTTAATTAAACATACACAATTCGAAGCCAGGAAGCCAGGAAGCCAGGTATAGATTTTTTGCTAGAAACGTAAGAAAGGCCACGTGAAGCACTCCATGTGCTAGTTCGGTTTCCATGGGATTCCGTCAATGTTTGTTGAAATTTGCTACCCGGATAAGAAACTAATTTTCTCAATTAATCCTTTAATTGAAATCAAAATATAGTGTACAATAGATCTTAGAACTTGTTTCACAAAAAAATCAAATTAATACTGATCCGTACGTTTGGATCACCACATATTAAAACCAAGAATTCCCAAAATTGTTTATCCGAAACTTCAGCCTATTGTGCTGAACGTACGTACGAAATATTCCCAAAATGTTATGAGACCTCCCACGGCGACGGGCGAGGAGCCCAAGGTCTAATCCAACATACGCGATGACCAATTATTTCGATAATATTGATTTTACTATCAGTATTTTATGCGGACATATAAAACAGACATTTAGGGTAGTTCCTCAACGCAGAGGTTAACCTATCATTCGAAGAAGCAGCACTGATATTTCATATCACAGACCCAAGGGCGCTATTAATATTTACGTTATTTTATGCAACTATTATTCGTTTTCAATTTTATAAAACGTTCTCTTCGAATCTGCAGCTAAAGCAAGTTCTGACTGAAGCCTTCAGGTGCAATGTGTTTCTTTTTGTTGGAATTTAAATACCGAGTCTTAAACCGACGGTATTGCACGGCCAGGAGAACAAAGCTTCACCCGAATGTATTGGTCTCTTATCGAAGAGATTCTAGAAGAAATAAGCATACTAAATTTTATCAAGAGACTAAGCTTGTTTAGATGACGTCACTCGTTTAACGTAGAACCTGTACATATTGTCTACTAAAAGAGGGTTTTGCTTTGTATTGCTTAATATCGATCTTTTCCGTTCATCCTGTTAAGAAAATTTCGGTGCCTTTTATTGCTGTCAATTGTACGACACATGATTTGCAAGGCGATGGTTTCGGTCGAAGGATTGAAGTTTGCTTCTTCCGTCAATTTGCGTACCGGTATCCCAATGAAAAGGTGGTAGAAAGCGTCCTGTTTTTTCCCTTCATATATCCGGTAAAACTTAACCTATATATAAGACAGTGTTTATGCCAATAACATATAATTGACGATGTCTATTGGTGATACTGCATGACCCATTCTAATGTGCTTTAGACACGCTTACCGATTAATCGGTAGATGAAACTGGAACACTCGGTCCAGAAATGTGTAACTCACTTAATTGATAAATATAAGAAATGGTACTACAGAATTAAATTATATAAGGGACAGAGCCATAAAGGTTTTCAGAGTCAAGCTTTATACATCATTGACTTTCAAAAAGGTACCCTGTTTCTCCACTTCTATACTTCTCTTTGATCATCTACGCGTATGCGACCCAAATTCTTGCCGAAGTCGGAGGTAAATATAAAGTATTCTTGAAAAAAAAGTGAGGTAAGGAAAGCAAGTTAAGGTAATCATATCGATAATTTGGGTGTCGACCATCAAATAACCTTGGAACTGCTGTCTACATTGATGCGTATTGCTTGATCGTTGACAGATTTGACAATTTGAGCATACTATTGGGAAGGCAAGTGATCCTTTCTTCTTGTAAATTCAACGATTCAGATGTAAATTCAAACGTATTGAAATTCGTGTTAAGATCTTTATTATCTAGTTAGTGCTGTAGTTGGCAGAGAAGTAACAGCAGCTTTTTTTTCGGATATTGGAAAAATATCTAGTTCTTAAACGCACCAAAGTTCGCCTCAGCGGAACGGCAAGGTATTTATTTAAATGTTAGATGAGTCTTTAAATTACGCGAAGGCCAGAAGGGACCAAGTTGTTTCTGCGGATCGGATGCGTGCAAGTTCTGTTTCACCCCTGGTCTCGCAGGGTGACTTCTATTTGGTGATGGTATCCGCCTATAAATTTGTATCGTTCAGAACATATTAACTTCGAGCATATTAGAACATGTTCGCTTCGTGTTTCTACCGCTTTTGTTGTATGCGGCACTTCTTCAACGAAGTGGTCAAAAACGGCTTCTTTTTCATATGTACTGTTCACCGGATTACACCCTGCCACAGTTTTCTAACTTCATTCGGTTTTTTTTTTAGGTCTTATTGAGTCATTAAAAAAGGCTGTCTAAAGCTTTCTGGCAATAGTAGCTTCAACTTTATCCGCCCTCTTCCATTAGTAAATGTAGAGTGAAATTCTTCGAAGAAGTTAAAAAGCTCTTACTATGTTGTTTTCTTAGAGATTATGGTTAATATTCTCGGTTCGGAAAATTTACCAAAAATTTCGACAAGCTTAGACTCGTGCGGCTAGGATGTTGCCTAGTGCCGTGGCACGCTTCCCGCTGTCATGCAGTGTGTTACTATAATCGTTTGTGTTGGTTGCATGGAAATCGTTCAATTTGCAGCGCTCAGATGTCATGTCCGGGAGCCCCACTAACTTGTTTTTAATGGTGTTGCTTGTTTAGACAGGAAGGTTAAGCCCTGATTAGGACCGTGATTGACACTGTATTCAAGCCTGATTCCACTTAACTCTATCTTTCCTCTACAAAAAATATTATTTGCCCGAAACGAAAGAATTGCCAATCAAATATGTATAAAATACGCTTCTATATTTCATATGCACCATGTTATACACGGATTCATGTACGGTGCGGTGATAACGTGCCGACTACTGCGTGGCATGTGAATGGTCTAGGTTTGAAACTGTACGTAAGCGCAGTTCGTTTCACACATAAGCCAGCTGTCTGAAACAGTGCCTAATGCGTAAAACTTGAACTTTCATTAAGGCTACGTAACTTGAACGGCCATCTCTGAAGTTTCTTACATGATCAGAACACAGCACGCATGAATTTCAATTCATGGGGAAACTCTGCTACAGGATTCTGCTAGAAAACTTCTATCGCGCCTGGATTTGGCATTCTCAAAAATAGCAAAGTGCCATGATGTGGATAAATACGCTTTCGTTAAATGCACTAGTTATAAAACTTTTTTTTAATACAAAATCCTGATAAAAAATGACCTCTTCTCATCTGATTTAAAATCCATTATAGTAATTTGGGTCTCGTTTGATACTGTAACTTGGTTGTTTCTTAAGGATTTCATTGCATTACATGCACATTCACATTTACTATTTCCAGCAGACTTGAGCACTTTTACACTTGTCTAATCACTTTGGATATCAAATTAATTAATTATTAGAAGAAAAAGAAGTCTTAAAACAAAAAATGAGAAGTAGATCCAAAGTCGACCAAAGCCTATTTAATTTCTGCTGGAACCGAAGCGGCATGTGATGAAAGCAAAATGATAAAGTATCCTTGTGAAGGGATAAAGGAAATGTAATCAAGTTAGTCTGCGAAACTAAGTGTCTTAATCAATAAGGAAAGAGGTCGCAGAATTGCGCGATACTATACCTGTGTATGGTAGAAAAATGAGGTGCCCATCCTTACGTGTCTCGACTATATCGTATACTATGATAAA